AATATTTAAAATTAAGTAAACAGATGTGTTACATTTTAATTTTATAAAAAAAAATTGAATAAATGACTTGAACCAACTAAACTAAAAAAGATTTAGGTTAAAAAATTTACCATTCAAAATTATGTCACTCGACACAATCCAACCCACGAACACTCCTACATTTCATACATATATGAAACATTAAACTTTTACTTGTGTCAGGTAGATCCATGAATTTTAAAAAATATTAAATACACCACCTATTAGACATAAAATTACAATTTTAAGGATCTATTGAACACAAAATTAAAAGTTCAAACATCTATTACACACTTTTGAAAGCTCAGAGATCCATTTAACACAAAATTAATCTTTCCATCTATTAAACACAAAATTGAAAGTTTAAAGATCTATTACATACTTTTGAAATCTCGGAGATACATGTAAAATAAAATTAAACTTTCAAAGACTTAAATATTTTTGAAAATACCCGTAGTCACAAAATTTAGAGATTGATGGAAAGCACATAGTCATGAAAATGGATGCTAAGTTGGAAGAACAAAAAGAAACAAAAGAAAATAAAGGAAGTGGGGATCCTTTTTGAGAATGGGGTATGAGAGTGAAGAAGTAGGGATGAATGTAGTATCTAATTTTGGAAGATAGCTGAACCACCATGTCCTTTTGTCTTAATAGAGGGGAAGATAATACAAAGTGTATGGTCATTGCCATTTGAAAACAAACCAAAACCAAACAAATTTGGGGTTTTGGAAGCACACATTGGTTCAACTTTCTTGCATTTACCCCATCACTTAGCCCCACTAGGAAACAAGCTCCAACAATGGCATATTTGGATTTATCCTTCTTTTGGGAATATATTAAAACCCTAACCTTGATTCCTTTTCCACCAAAGATCAAGACAAAAATGTAAGAAACACTTAAACTAGAGATACACATGAAAATAATGATTCACCAAAGTCGTTACTATATGAGGTTGATGGTCGGGTTTTTATCCGTATTCAACTAGCTATCTAATATTTTTTCTCTTAGAAGCAAAGATCGATTGATGGTTAAGTTGTTGGTGACATGTCTAAAGACGTGAGAACTCACGTCAATTAGAGAAGAGAATGAAACACTTTTTTATAAGCGTAAAAACCTCTCATTAGTAGACGCGTTGTTTTTTCGTCAATTCAAAACCCAAAAAAAGGTTTTATAAGATTCAAAAGGTCCGTTGAGCACCTCTTGGCTATGTCATAATAGATCCGAACACTTGCCCCAAATCAACTTCCAGATCATAATTGCTCTAGTGAATAACTAAAAAAAATAGATGGGAGATAGAGAAAGGTTCACCAATTACAAGTGTTGGTAGGTCTCTTTGTATGTGTTATCTGGAAAGAGGAGGACTCAATAATTATTTGTTCGCGGTAACCAGAGTCAAAATTTTGGTAGATAGGGATCTAGTAAAAACTTATTTTCGAGGAATGGGTTAGACCAGGTCAAAGCAGATAATATCTACTTGCGGTGAGTTTGGGTTGTTACAAATGGTAGCAAAGATAGTCACTAGGCAGTGTGCCAACGAGGACACTGACCCCCAAGGAGGTGGATTGTGAGATTCCACATTGGTTGGAGAGGGGAACAAGGTGAAAATCTCTCCCTAGCAAACGTATTTTAAAATCGCGGGGTTAACGACAATACGTAGCAGGCCAAAACAAACAATATCTACTAGCGGTAAGCTTGAACTGTTACAAATGGTATCAGAGCTAGTCACCTGTGCCAGTGAGGACGCTAGCCTCTAGAAGGTGGGTTGTTAGGTCTCACATCAGTTGGAGAGAAGAATGAAACATTTCTTACAATATTGAAAATCTCTCCCTAACAAACGCGTTTTAAAACCGTAAGGCTAACAACAATACGTAATTAGTCCGAGCGAATAAATGGCAAACATTCTCTAAATTTACTAAGGACTCAATAATGTACTCTAAACTTACCAAGAACTCGAACTGAGTGATAAGCTGAGCTGGTAAAGATTCACTTTTGTAAGGATCCAAGACAGATAAACCAATCATTGAGTTCAAACCTACCATAATAGAGCTATCCCTTTTTGAGGCAAGTGGTTTTTTCCGCCCATTTTGAGCCAGAGCGAGAAGAGAAAAACAGGAGGCTGAGCTTCTCAGAAATTCCATATTCCCCACTTTAGAGTAAAAGACAAGAAATTAATGACGACAAAACCATCATACCACCACGCTTTGTCGACAACGTAGTCATCTAACGGAGGCCTGAGAGAGCTGAGAGAGAAAGAACTGAATTGATGATGGAAACAGAGGAAACCCACCACCCATACTCAATTCAAGTACAGTAACGACACACTTTGGATTTTGGCTTTTCCCCCTAAATTTCATTTGGGGTTCCGATTCTTACAAAACCCAGTAACCCTTTCTTGATTCTTCCTCTTTTCTTCTTCTGCTTCTTTCTTTTTGTTCTGTTTTCCTCTGTTGTTCCACACCGTTGGTTCTGTTCTGTTCTGTTCTGTTCTGTTCTTGAACAATGATTCAAGACGAAGGCATATCCACCATAACTTCCACCCCTCTCCAATTCTTCACAATGATGCCTCTTTCACCCAAATTGGGTTCTCCATATCTATGGCTTAGAGAGCTCAAATCTGAGGAAAGGGGCTTGTATCTAATCCATTTGTTGCTTACTTGTGCGAACCATGTAGCTGTTGGTAGCCTTGAGAGTGCTAATCTTGCCCTTGATCAAATATCACATCTTACTTCTGCTGATGGTGATACAATGCAGCGCATTGGGGCGTACTTCGCCAAGGCACTTGCGGATCGAATCCTCAAGACATGGCCTGGTCTTTACAAGGCCTTTAACTCCACTAAGATACCAATGGTTTCAGAGGAGATTCTTGTTAAGAAACTGTTCTTTGAAACGTTTCCTTTTCTCAAGGTGGCTTTTGTGCTTACTAATCAAGCTATTGTTGAAGCCATGGAGGGGGAAAAGATGGTTCATATAATTGATCTTAATGGGAATGAAACTACTCACTGGCTTGCACTTATGCAAGTATTGAGTGCTAGGCCTGAAGGGCCTCCCCATTTGAGAATCACTGGGGTTCATCCACAGAAGGAGATTCTGGATCAAATGGCTCCTAGGTTGACAGAAGTAGCTGAAAAATTGGATATCCCGTTTCAATTCAATTCCGTTATCAGCCGACTCGAGGATCTCGATATCGAAAAGCTTCGTGTAAAAACCGGGGAGGCTCTGGCTATCAATTCAGTTCTTCAGTTGCACACCCTTTTGGGCTCTGATGAAGTTTTGCAAAAACCATCTTCATCAGCAGCCAAGAGTGCAAATGTAGTTCAATACTCGAGATACTCGTTGAGCGAGTTACTCGACAAGGATTTGGTTAACGGGTGCAATCCGAGTCCCGACTCGGTTTCGTCATCAGCTAATGCAACAAAGATCAACAGATTTTTGGATGGATTGTGGAGCTTAACGCCTAAGGTGATGATTGTAACAGAACAAGATTCAAACCATAATGGTTCAACTCTTATGGAGAGATTACTAGAGGCACTCCACACCTATGCAGCTATTTTTGATTGCTTGGAGTCTAACATGTCAAGAACATCCGTGGAGAGGTTGAAGTTGGAAAAGATGCTATTTGGGGAAGAGATTAAGAACATCATAACTTGTGAGGGAGCAGAGAGGAAGGAGCGACATGAAAAACACAAGAAATGGTGTCAACGATTCGATATCGCCGGGTTTAGGCATGTGTCTTTGAGTTATTATGGCATGGTGCAGGCACAGAGCCTGCTGTAGGGTTATGGTTGTGATGGTTATAGGATGAAGGAAGAGAATGGTTGTGTGATGATTTGTTGGCAAGATCGTCCATTGTTCACAGTATCAGCTTGGAGGTGTTGTAAGTAGAATGAACATAGAATCTGCTTCTCATTATAGGCCAAAGAATTCTTTTCATTTCTATTAAGATTAGCGTACGGTACGGGTCGATCACGAAAACGTCTTCTTACCCGAAAAAAAAATCCCCGAGGCATCCATGTTTGTTCAAACTAATATATCATCACATTTGTTTTACTCCCAAGTTCATCAGTGATTGTTTTACTCCCAAGTCCAAATGTAAATCTATAAATCTATTCTATTCTACCTACAATCTTTCAGTATTCACAATCCCGTTCGAATCCCGAGATCGACTCGATGAAAAGGTGGCATCCAAATGTAAAAATCAGTAGAGTCAGTTCAATCAGGAACCAATTTCCAAGTTCCAAACCGACTTCTAAGTTATAGTGTTAATGCTGGCCAGCCTAAAATACCATTCCCCTGAATTCATGTGGTTATTTATAACTGCAATCATATACTGTCATCACTACCTAAAACAATGAATTGGCTAAAAGCTTTGCTTGGAGAAATAGAGGGAACATGTATCCCTCGTGCAAAATCTGAAAAAATCCAAGATTGTGATTTTTAACGGATGCAACTATTATACCAAAAGAAACAATATAGGTAGAGATAAACATATCAATGCAATCATACCAAGAGAAAGAATATAACTAGAGAACCACCACCATATCAGTACAATTATTTTACTAGAAACAATATAACTAAGGAACTATCAAATCAATGTAATATTATTATACCAAGACAACAATATAACTAGGGTAACTTATCAATGCAACTATTATACCAAGGGAAAGAAGGGGAACCATCATATCAACGCAACTATTATACCCCAAACTATCGTATCAATGCAACTATTATACCAAGGGCTAAGGGGAACCCATATCATATCAACGCAACTATTATACCAAGGGAAACAATATAACCAAAAAACTATCATATCAATGCAACTATTATACATAGGGAAAGGGGAACTGCCATATCAATACAACTATTATACCAAGGGAAAGAAGGCGAACACATCATATCAATGCATCTATTATACCAAGGGAAGCAATATAACCAAAAAACTACCATATCAATGCAACTATTATACCAAGGAAAAAAAAGGGGAACAGTCATATTAATGCAACTATACCAAAGGATGTATAACTAGGAATGTAAAAATTATATCAAGGGAAACAATATAACTACGAAACTACCATATCAAAGTAACTCGTATACTAAAAGGAAACAATATAACTAAAAAACTACCACATCGATGAAACTATCTACCCACCACTAGCAAAGCGTTCAGCAATGTTTGGTTCAGACTATGCTCAGGTCAGCCACTGCTTTGTATGTCATGTCAGTTTGATATCCAAAAGCGTAACCAAACGGCCATGCAACTCATCAATGAAGAGCAAATATGTATGCCCAATTGTTGGAGGAATATAGGTAAACCCAAGTGCCCCGCCTGCCTGACCTTGGTGATTAAAAAATCCACGAAATGATTTTATGTTTCAGACAAAGACCAAAACCAATAGACACCAGAACTGTTACACAAGCAAAATATATAAAATGTTCCCTATTACTTTGATGTTCAAACGCACATATTTCAGTGGATGTTAATTTAATACCTTCAAACACAAGTAATGCTTATGATTTTCAGTAGTTCTAATCTGTGAACTAAGCTCATGATTTTCAGCTAAAGTGACATTCAACCCAGTCCTCTTCCCTCACTGCAATGCAATGCTAGTAATGAAAAATCAAGAAAGAAAAGTGGAATCAAGCCAGTGACCATTTAAATTCGTAAAGATATATCGGCAAAGTTTGAGGATCTTGAACAGGTTCTATCATCAAACACAAATAGGAAAAACGTCAAAACTGGTATATGATATCAAAGAAGAGAAAGCTCTCTGCGTCTCATCATTTGATGAAAACGATAGACACAATTAGCTACCCATGTGAAGTTGAAGGAGAAGACATTACACAATCCAGCCACATGGAATGTTGGGAGAAACGACAATTCATTTCAATAATGAGAATAAGGACAAAACGAAAGCAGCACAACAATCAATGAGAAACAGATTAGGGAAAATGAAAATTTCACTGTGTAATGCCATTAGTTAACTATCCAGAACTCTCTCCCTCACAGAATTCTCTAGGATTTTCCCGGAAAATCAAACCCAACTCTTATCCCCGCAAAGTTCCCTTTCAATTTCATTCACCCCCAGAAGCAAAAGAAAGAACAAGCCACCAAAAACTGATAAACAAACATCGATAGTAAACAAAAACAGTAGAGAACCGAAAAATCACAAGAACTAACAACAACCCTAGCAAGAGAAACTCGAATTTCTCAGCAACCAAACACGATTCAAGAGAAGAAAATGAGAAAGAAACTGGTGAGAATCGGAACTGGCCTGGAAAATACCGAGCTGGGAGTAAAAAAAAAATCAGAAGAGGATTGCAAGAACACATAAACCAGAAAAAGAAATCTGAGTGAAAAATTTATAGATATGCTGAAAACGTGAAGAGAAGGGTCTGAAGCAGAATGAGAACAAAATTCTCCATTATATTTGGAAACCTTTATATTTGCAGGAGACTACACGTGGAATGCAAGAACCCACCGAGAAGAGAGTTGCATACTCAGGTAATGTGCACCGAGAAGCATATGCTAAAATTCTCCATTCAAATCATGTTTATGTCTGCAGAGCGAGCAGCACAAAGCATTCGAATGTCGGGGTCGACACAGGACCTCGTGATCCTTGTCGACAAGTCGATCAGTTCCTATCACAAGAGCGGCCTCCTAGAGGCAGCTGGTTGGAAAAATAAGGACAATGGAAAGAATCAGGAATCCAAAAGCAGAGAAAGCTGCATACAACGAGTGGAACTACAGCAAGTTCAGGCTATGGCAGCTAGCAGACTATGACAAGATCTTGACGACGACCTTATTAGGAATGCCAGAGATCTCCACAACAGGAAACAATGGCACCCTCTTCAACTCGGGAGTAATGCTCATAGAGCCATCAAATTACACATTCAACTCCTAATGGATCATATCAACGAATTCGAATCCTACAATGGAGGTGACCAAGGATACCCCCAAAACACATGAATTTCATGAAGGAACTTCTGGATGAGTGATGATGAAGAAACAAAGCAAATGAAAACAAGGCTATTGGGGCTGACCTACCAATCCTCCTCTATGCTCTTCATTACTTGGGAAACAAGCCAAGGATGTGCTTCAGAGATTACGACTGCAACTGGAATGTGCAAGGATGTTGCGCATCAACGATGGTTGAAGGTCCACACCAAATGCCGGAGCTCCTGCAGCAATTTTTCCTGTTGAGATCAAAGCAAGAGGCCCAACAGGAATGGGACAGAATCCAAGCGGAGATTGGGAATTACAGCGACGGCCATTGGAGGATAAAAGGAGCAATTGTGGGAGCTAGGTTGACGATACCAAGTGATCGTCAACATAGCTCCCACAAGTACACCTTTATATTTCGACAAACAAAAATCAAATAGTAATTTGACGAGACAAAATTGCATTTTCAATGGATCAAGAATATACCAGACCAGAATATGGTATTCCAGACAAGATTGACGACAATGGAACAGTTGACGATTGGTTGTTTAATCAAGGGGTTGTTGGTTTTCGGATAGCAAGACGATTACAGAAGGTTACGATGCATTTGCTCTCTCCCTCAGAGATGGATTGTTCTGAATACTCGGCATGAGGTCTTATTTATAGACATTTTTTTTGCCCCCCACCCGTTAGTTTCCGATGTGGGATGGCCTTCTCACACACAATTTGGCAATGACAATGCCAAGAACTTCACTGTTATTTACTCTGTTGTTATGTTCATACTGTTTTCTTCAGAAAATCCAAAAATGGATTTCTTTTTATTTTCGTTTTTAAAAAATGCTCTAAAAAGAAAAAAGCAAAATTTAATCCAAAGAAAATTTTAATTTTTCACTGAATTTTTGCCTATTTATGAATTATGGCACATACTAATCGATACCAAATCTAACCTGATTTTTCTCAATATCGAAAATCTCGAACCTTCACATAACATGTTATTTGTTTTCGAATTTCCCTGTTTTCTTACAATTGGTTTTAATTTTTATACACAAAAAAAAAAATATATATATATATATATTAAATCATACTAATCTTTTACTACAAAAATTAAATAATTACAAAACTTAAACGATAGGAACTAAATTGGTACTCACTAAAGTTTATAGGACAAGTCATTACGACAAAATCTATACAATCCCATATATAACCCAAAAGGCTGCTAGCATAAATGGTCGTAACACCTGAGCTTAAGATCGATGCTATGATATAAGGAATCCATGAACATAACTCGACAACAAATAATTGGCTAGCCTATTATATATTTTTCGTTTAGCCAAATGTTACATAACATTACCAAGGGATCTATCACCTAATCTACGAAAAGAAAAAAGAAACAAACGAATTAAGGGTGGAAAGTAGAAAATGTTTACTGTTATAACAAATATGTTTACGTTGTTAGATCGAGTCCATTGATCGACGAAGGCCACTGTAGACTGCTTTCCTGAAAAGTGGGTGTGAATCTTCGGATAAGACTTCTGCATCCAACTTCTCAATGTGTGGCCATATCTGTGCACATCACAATGAAAATGGTTCGAGTAAAAAACAGTTTATTATGATAGTTTCAGAAATGAATTATCAAAACTTTCTTTCATGATTGTGAGATCCCACCTCGATTGGGGAGGAGAACTAAATATTCTTTATTAAGGGTGTGGAAACCTCTCCCTAGAAAACGAGTTTTAAAAAACCTTGAGGGAAAGCCCACATAAGACAATATCTGCTAGCGGTGGGTTTGGGCCGTAACAATGATTAATAGTCCTGAAAGCATGGCACTGTATGAAATGAAAAATACCTCGGAAGCGTATTGCCTTGAGAAGGCCTTGACATATCCCAAGGTTGTTAAACACCACTGTTCATTTTCACCTACAGTGTAGGCATGCTCTGTACTACCATTCAAATGACTGCAAAATAAAGAAAACGTTGTGATTTCATGATTGAGATTAAAGGAAATGAGAAAGATCATGGATTGAAATTTTGGCAAAAAGATATTGGATCATTGTAGTATTGACGAGAACACCTTTTTTCAGGTCTTGAATCCTCATTGTCCATCTCCATCTCCATGGCTGATGGTTCTTCAAGGTCCATAGCATTCGCACCAGCAGGATTAATAGACTTCAAATCCTGCAGGGTTTGTGCGCTAGATGCAGCTGGAAGGCGTTCGGTCAATATACTGGAAAACCCTTTGTACAAGGATAGAAATAATGTCTGCACACGGAAACGATTAGTTAAAACGGGAAAGTGATACAGTGTTACGTTGTGAACTCTACGGAAGATGCAACAGAATCGAGAATACCGACATTAAGGCGTCCAGATTTAACGAAAGAGGTGCAAATTATTTTAGTCTTGAAATTAATACCTCGTTCTCCTCAAGAGCTCGGGTAAGAAGAGCTTCTTTGGCCTCTAAAGAGTTTCGTATCGACATCTCCTGCTCTTTCGCTTTTCCAGCATAAGCTTTCAATCGCTTCATTCTCACGGGATTCTCTCCCATAACAGGTTCACCATCCACAAGTGTGAGCTTTGATTCAGCAGCATTCAATTCCTCCTGTGTCTTAGCAACAGCTTCTTCAGCTGCAACGATATCTTTCTTCAAGGAGGATATTTCTTTTTTAAGATCAGAAATACGATTATATGTCTTGCATAACGCATTTCTCAGTATCTGTACAAGAGATAATAAGGAAAAAAATAGTTAAGCAACTTATTTCCATCTGCAGTGAAGTAGCCAAAAAAAAATGGCAATATGTACCTCCCATGGACGATCTGATGTATGATATTGCTCAACGTTTTCTGGAGAAAAGATCCATTTGATGATGGATAAATTGGATATTAACCTATAACCCATCATTCTATCAATTGTTATTGCCGTCATTTGAGTATTATTCTCCCAGTAAGAACCCACTTCAGATATAAGCAAGACCTGCTTATCCTGATCATGGCATATTCTTGAAATAACTTGTCCATATCTCTCCAAGACTGTTATCAAATGAGTGAAACTCTTCGACCCAATATCTAGAAGAGTTTGCACAACCACCACGAGAGAAATATCTGAACCATGCTTGGGAATAACATTTTCATCCAACCATGAAATTACGTCACGTGCTGCAGCCCGCCCCTTCACCATATTGCACAATTCAGCAGAAAGTGCATGTTGCTCACTTTTTTCTCCATCTTCGGTAGTAAATTTGAAGTTTGGTCCACCCTTTGGTGGTAGCAACTCTTCTAAACCAGGTGCAGTCTCAATGCTCTACATACGCTCAATATACTTGACATGTCAGAAAACAAAGTAAAAAAGCAGGAAGAATAAGCTCATATTTACTCCATTATTCTGATTTTTCAAGCATATACAAATATTATGTTGGAACATCCCAGAGGACTATAGTCACCGTTTGGTGGATACTCTGTCACTCATTGTTTTTTTCATGTTGACCGATGAATACATTATGAATTTACTATGAAGGACTACTTTGTTTTACAAAACATGCCGAGTACAAATATCTGAATAATGGTATATGTGACAAAAAAATCAACAATTTCAAGCATGATGAATACCTGCTTTATTTTATCCCAATATGATAGACGGACCTCCCTATCCAGAACCTCTTTCACAAACACTCGCTGGGGGGCCCATTTTGGAAGTTCTAATACGTGAGCCCATTCATCCCATGGCCATATAAATTGAAAATTTGATCTGCGTAAACGGTGGCAGAAACAATGTAAATATCCAGGTAATCTAACTTCAAAAGGAGAGCATAATGTTTTCAGTATGATGCAAGCATCCCAACAATGGCACTTCAAAAGAGATTGCATGGCTGAGGGTAATCCCAAAACCTCTCACAAGTGATAAAGACACAAAACTTGTATGCCATACCAAAGAATGGGAAGTTTGAAACTCATTAAAAACATTTCAGTAGTAGATGTACAAGCAAATAGAAGTCACAGACAGAACTGTTAAACATTTATTCTTTTGGACTGGAGCTGTAATTTGTTTCGGTAGTGTCGTTTGAGTTACTTTATATAAATTTAAAAGGTAGAGTATCCATTAGTTCCGAAAAAGACAACATACATGAAAGAAGGTGAGAATAAATTGAACTCCAAATTTAAGGAAAAGGAAAGGAGATAATAATACGAGAACTCCAAAACTGGCCCATAACACATTTATCGCAAGAAAGTTAATACAGTCACATATGATAGTGAATTCTTTAGTGTTCGCAAAGTACAAACTTACAAATGGTGTGAAAACCAAAGTATCAACCGTATACGACACTCCATGTCTAAATCAGCTATTTTCTCAAATAAGGCACGAACTGCACCAGCTACAACGGCAGGAAATGCCCCAGGAAGAGCCTATATATACCTCATAGTTATATATTTTCACAAATAAGAATTTTTGGTCAAAAAGGAAAATAAAAGGAAAAGGGACAAACGATAATTATACTAGAAAAAAGAAAAAGGAAGGAAACAAGATAGAAGAACACATTTACAATAACAGAAGCACGTACCTTGCAAAGGTCAATAATGACCAGCGTATAATAAATAGGCTTGAACGGTGGTTGTGGTAACATGAGTAACTGCAAATAATTCAATATTTTTGGGTAGAGAAGGTGAGAAGCAACTTGAGTGACTCAAAAAAATCATAAGAACTCAAAATAAGAAAATAAAATTTTAACAAATGAAAGAAAACTCTTGAATTAGAAGAGCTCGAACTTTGCTTATGAGAATCTACCAATCAAGAAATTTGCCTCCATCAAACTCAAGCCAGAAGCTTTAGAATCCGAAAGATCTTTTGTTTTTATAAGAAACATTTTGTGAAATTTACAAAAAGGTTGAAAAATCCATGACCACTGTAAGCACGTTCTTAATTGGCTAAAATGGAAGCATGAGCACATCTATAGCGGAGATTGGACAATTTAAACCAAGAAATAGCATAGATAACAAGATAAAAAAAAACATATCAAAAGAACAATCTTGCACCCATTAATGTAGTTCTTAACAAAATTCTTCAATAGAACTGACACAATCAACCAACTTGGGCTGATACCAGCTAGTCTTGAAACGCACGAATTATCAAAATGATGATCTCATGTTTAGAGACAAAAAACCTGTGATACAATAAGTGAGAAATTTCATCCCCCACCCTTGACCTTGTCAATAGACCATTTGACAAAGGAACCAGCATACCAAGATCTTCAAAAAGTTTATTAGACCTTGTTATGCTCTTCACTTGACTTCCAACACGGGTCTCACATGAATCCATTAACCATATTTAAATCACCATTTGACACCAAAGTGGGATTCTTTAACATTGACAAATTAAAACCATCCTCAACTAGTTTTCCACCTACAATCCGATGTAGTATATTGAAGATACATGAAAGGGATCAGCATTAATTGTTTCTTTAACCACCAACAAATCTACATACAGGGCACCTAATAAATGTTCATCCTTTTCAAAGAATTCCAAGAGACATGCCAGGATCACCATGATAATGTGAGTCCAACCCTTGATCCATCACTTGAACCCAAAGGAGCATTGCAAAGTAAATTCAAAAGGCTTTTATAT